TGTAGTGCTATTGCTTAAAACACTGGCACAAAGCACTATCACGTGCTAAAGGACATTTACAATTGGAGGGATTCAAACTTCCTTCATTGAAGTTATGTCCAGGGGCCTAAGTTCTAAACCAGCCAATTCACAAATATTACGGTATCGATGGTATTTTTTATCCATACATTCTCACCTTAAATCAAAAGTTGAATGCTTCATGTTTCTACCAAACACATTTTACATTTTTCAAAGATATATTTGATTGATTATGCTGATTCTCTATTAATTTGAAATTCACCTCATGTCCGCATGAAAAAGTATATCCCACTAACATGCAATTAAAAATAGTTTCAAAAATTTTTTTGAAAACAGACATTTAAAACTTGTAAAACCTGCAAACCAACTTTTAGGCGACGAAAACTTTTCCATTGGTTTAAACTTCATTTTACATCAATCACCCTTTCAATCTACCGTTGACAATAACCTATAATATAATTTTAATAGTTAAAACTGTTCCATCACTAAACTGAACTCTAAATTATGAACAAAATAGTCAGTGTTTCAAGGTATACTATTGGAAAGGTTGTAGAATACTGATGTTAAGGAAGGCTTTTCTACATGCAAACAACCGAAACATTATTCAAATGCGGTTAAGCGATGTTTACCCTCCAAAGTGACATGCTGTATTTTGTTACTTGAGAAAGAGGAAAAACGGAGGCGATTTATCATACATGCAATCCTTGTGTAGCCAACTTTCTATTTTATCAAACGTCAAAACGCGTAGCTAATATTAAATCGTTTTAATTAGAGATCCCTAGTCATGAAAATTACCATTTTCCGAAGGAGACAATATTGTTTTCAAAACTCCTTACGAAAGTAACTATTTTCAATAACAGCTGATATGAAAGAAAGTAGTTGTTTCCCAAACTCTAATTTAGAGCGAGGGAGAAACGATCAGCTGATTTTCCCTCGCTCTAAATTTACTTTCCCTTGCTCTCGATTAGTTCTCCATTTATCCACTATGCGCGCTAGTGTTTTGTTAGGTTTGTTTTAATGATTTAAATCAGCTGTTTTTATTGTTGCACAATCTAAATCAATACAGAAACAGGCATTGTAGTTTGTTTTGTTGTGTTTATAGCATAGTGCATGTTTGAAATTGCTCAAAGTATCACATTACTGATGATTTGATGAAAACAGCTTCAGAGGTAAATCGCCTTCCACCAGATACATCACAGGAGATATAAGAAGAAGAATACAGAAAGCTTAGAAACTGGAACAAATTGCAAAATGTAAAGTCAATTAAAGTAGGTGACGAAGTATTTATTAATATATTTATCTAAAAAATCTACAATTATGAAACCATATATGTACGTTGTGAAGTGTATTTTCAATGACAAAGAGTGGTCTAAACCCATTGTAATACTACTGAGATATGTTATTCTGTGTTTGTGTATTTTTGCGTCGTGATGAAAAGTATCGTTCATAACTCATACCGAAAGCTATTTCCGACATTGTTCCCGTCCTTAGCTTAGCCTCGCATTTTAAATTTGGTTTTCCTGGCCCCATTACATTTATTTTTAAACCCAAATAACATGCATTTGATATAGGAAAATTTTGTTTTTGTTATCTACACAAACACTAAAAGAGATACGAAGTAAGAATAAATTACAAAGTTATTATGAATTAAAAATCCTATAAAATTATATGCTACTTGAAATATGTATATATACTTGAACAATGGACATTTGCAAGTTTTCAATTTTTATTATTTCAAAAACCGTTACTTGTAGCATATCACGGTAAAGCTAATTTCATAACGAGTATTACAATTTTACCAGAAAAGGGCTAAGTACATTGGTATAGGAAACACAGAGTATTAAAAAAATATTGAAAAAAAAACTGCTGCCATTTTCGAACGAAAAAAGAGAATTAAATTCTTTTTTTGCCAAAGTGTTTGTCTATTAAATACCTTAAAAATGATGTCTAACATGTTTATATTTGAAAATTCCGAGATTCGAACTAGTGATCCTCAGTTTTTGGCACACCCTGTATCGGAATGAAGTTAAAAAATATTTGTACAAAACTCCTTGGGGTCGATTTAAGCGGGAAATAATTGTATTTCATCCTTGTACGTTAAGCCGTTTTCCGTAATCAATGTGAGACACCGAACATGGGACACCCTGTATATTCCTATAATTGTTTCAGCGACCACAGGTGATCGCTGGTCTATTTAGCACGTTAAATCGACTGGGAATTATTCGATTTTTGGGAAATTCGATGGTAGAACCTATAACTATTCGAACGAGTTCGCCAACTAACATGATCGGACTCTAAAAACGAGGTTTTGTAAGCCATTCAAAAACGAAGTTTTGTAAATTTGGTCCAAACCCATTTGTAAAGCTCAAAAACAAATAATTTTGCATATTTTGCGTTGTTAATACGTTTATTGGTTACGGAGAGAATTCCATAAAACTATTACGTACATAAAAATTCCAATTTCATTTTCTTGGAGTAAACTGTTGTATTTTGCTTGTTTATGGATATACTGTATTTTGATCAAATTTGGCAAACTTAATTATTTCATCCTAAGATTATACATTTCACAAAAATAGCCCTTTTCTGTAGCAGGAAACCTAAGTACTCATTTAACCTAATGCTATTTAAATATGGAATTCATTTGAGATGTTTCAAGAGATATTTAAGTAAAAATTCAATCAGGCAAATGGAAATTCACTCGGTCTGCAGGTTTTCTGTGGTTGAGCTTTTATACTGTACTTTTATAAAAAACCCGACAGCATCATACTACCATATCTTGTGTTAGTTTTAAACCGCAATAATTTAGTTGAAGCTAAAATTTGGCAAATTGCCTGATATAAAATATGATTATACAGGGTTATTCAAAATGAATGACCCAGTTTTAACGCTTTATAACTTTTAAACTATTAAACTTACCGCTATAAAATACACATCAAACGAAAGAGCAACCCAAAGAGTTTACGCCTTCCAAAGGCACATCATTTAACATCGATCCAACAGAACTGTAGATTTAATTGTACAAAGTTAAAAAGTAATCTCCAACTTCATTTACCACTAGAAATTTGGAGGTTACTTGACGTTTTTGCAAATAACTTTTAAATGGTGAGGAAATCGACCAAAGTGGAAGGTAATATTCCAAAAGAGAATAAAATTTCCTACAATCCACTATTGCGAATATCTTGAAAATACTCAATAAACGTAGCCTAAATTTGGCTTAAAATAAAAAAGTGTGAAATTTAATGTTTGCTATGTTTATTGTCTACATTGAAGACAGGGATTTTCAATTTTTTTTTTCTAGGCAATTTTGGTATAGTAGATTGTAGGAAATTTTATTCTCTTTCGGAATAATACCCTCCTCTTCGGTCGATTTCCTCACCATTTAAAAGTTATTTGCACCGAAGAGGAGGGTATTATTCCGAAAGAGAATAACATTTCCTACAATCTACTATACCAAAATTGCCTAGAAAAAAAAAATTGAAAATCCCTGTCTTCAATGTAGACAATAAACATAGCAAACATTAAATTTCACACTTTTTTATTTTAAGCCAAATTTAGGCTACGTTTATTGAGTATTTTCAAGATATGCGTAATAGTAGATTGTAGGAAATTTTATTCCCTTTCGGTATATTACCTTCCACTTCGGTCGATTTCCTCACCATTTAAAAGTTATTTGCAAAAACGTCAAGTAACCTCCAAATTTCTAGTGGTATAAAAAGTTGGAGATTACTTTTTAACTTTGTACAATTAAATCTACAGTTCTGTTGGATCGATTTTGTTTAATGATGTGTCTTTGGAAGGCATAAACTCTTTGAGTTGCTTTTTCGTTTGATGTGTATTTTATAGCGGTAAGTTTAATAGTATAAAAATTATAAAGCATTAAAAATGGGTCCATCATTTAGAATAACCCTTTATGTATTAAAATATTTGGCCCCTATCAGACCATGAAGATTATTATTTTACACAAGGTTACTGCTCTTCTCATGAGAAATTGTCATTAAATTTCAATTTTAAACAAACATTTCAAGAGAGAACAACCGCTGTTCACGAAAACTCAAAGTTATAAAGATACGTCAAAAGTTTCCTTTATTCATTGTTTCACTGCGCTGTAATCTTTTTAAGACGTTCTTAATGAGTTTAAACGCTAACCTAAGAACACTTAGTGGCTTTTCAACTACATGACTCTTTCTTTTCCTTTAAATATCAGAGACAAATTACGATTCAACCAAAATATAAAAGTTTAAAGGTAATATTTTGGCATAACAGTGGAAGTATTTTCTTAAAATCCTTTGTAAGAATTGACGTAGTTAACAGAATTCACAGTCAAGCTAAGAAGTTTAGTGGAAAACACTTATTATAAATGCTATCTCCTCCTGACGCCATCCTAGGTTACTTATTCATGACCAGTTCATTCCCAAGTTAATTGGGTTAAGATCCGAGGACTGGACATTAATATTAAACGTCTAAGTTAACAGTAAAGACGCCTTCTCAAACGTTCATCGCTTTTATTCGGAAAAGATCAAATGAAGAAATTCGATTTAATTTCTGGACAATAAAACAACTTAGTTTAAAGATTAGTTGTTTAAAAATGAAAATAAAACTCACGTTTTATAAAATATTTAAGAAAATCTTTTATTAAAAATATAGATTAGAATACTATTTACTGATTTGGTTTACAGATCCGCTCCCAAATGTTAAATAACGGAATTTATTAAACTTCATGCATAACTTAATTTCTCTTTGATTTGCCAATGTTTTGTGTGGGAAGCCTTTTGGTACTAAGTACTGTAATTTATTATTGGATAAAAGGTAAAGTCTCTAAATATTTTGACTCTAAATCAAAGTAGTGGTACATTTAAAGTATACAGAGTGTTTACCAATATAATTGGTGCAATTAAAAAAATTATATTTGCAAAATGTTTAGTTTTTTTTTATTAACAATAAGTACACAAACTACTTAAATAATACAATCGGTTTATCTTTACCTTGGTAAGTAGTCGTTCATTGGGCAATCTGAAACAAAAAAGTTCTTTATAGATAAGGTTAGTTTTGTATTTCGTATAAGTCCTTATAATATACAATAACATATATTGCGGTTTCGTATATTGTCCAAACTCAATTAATTTATAAGTAAAACTTCATGAATAACGGTGAATAGTCGGATGAAGGAAAACATTAGTATTTCATCGTACAATTTATTAGACAAACCAAAAGTTGTTGATCAGTTTAGTGTTATGTTTAAGATGGGAGAAATGTTTATAAACTTTTTTTAAATTATGACTTTAACGATTTCTGATTAACTAGTCCAAGATGTGTCATCGCATTAAAAAAATATTGTGATTGTGGTTTTTTAATAGATATAATATTAATAATGATTAATTTAACACTAAACGAAGATAATAAATATCAATTGAAAAATAGACCAGAACGTATTCACTACATAAGGAGTTCACTACTTGCAGCATCTATTTACAGCAGAGTCTGGTTATGTTTTAGTACATTTGTACCCTCGACTCAAATTAGTGAGACAATTAGGATCAGCTTTAAAATGGGGAATTTTCATCCCTTTTCCTTCTATTCAATCCCTCTACAATTCTTCATTCTTTTGACGTAAACTAAAATTAGACACAATATTTCGTTTCAAAAACCGCGATGTGTTTTAAATTGTAAATTTCTGGTACAAAATATTCTATTTTATTTTGTACAAACAATACAGCCGAATTTATTGAATGTTTTAAATCCATACTTTGACATGATATTACTCCGAATACGGATAAGTAATGGCTTTACCCAAGAAACACAAACATTTAATATCCGAGAAAATCGCTGGAGGCATTTAGCCCCAGCTGGTTCTGAGACAAGGTTATTGGTCCTTCAGGAGGATTGATGCTTTGCATTATTGCGTTTAGAAAAATAGTACCTCTTAGGTGTCAAACGGTTTTCTATAGATAAAATACTAAGGCAAGTTAAACAATTAACTTTATTCTGTAAATGACATCCTTGAGCACTCGTTTGTAGCGTTTAATTTATTTCTAGAGTCAGACTTAAAAAATTCGCTGACCAACTTTCTTTATAACTGTTTAAATGTGAACAGCTGATCTCTAAGTTTATCTGTCAGCTGATATGTGCTAAGGAAATATACAGGGTGTCCCGTAACTCTCTGGACACTTGCATATAGCGTTATTCCTTAGGTCAAGACAAACACATTTCACCATAGGAACATGGGTCTGTGGTGTCTGGTTTACCGACTGTCGGTATTTATGTGTTTTTTACAAAAAAACTAATAACTTTTAAACGGTTTGAGATACAGCTTTGATATTTTGCAAAAATGTTAATCTTATTAAGACTTATTATCGTTAGAAATTATACTAAAAAATAATTAACCGTTTCAAAATGGCGGCCATTTAAAATATTTGATGCCAAATTTCACAAAAACCGTTAACTTAACAAAAAAATTGCAAGACACAAAAAAGTTTGTAAATTTTATGTAGTTTTCAATGATACCTTATTTGTTAAGATTGGATAAATAATAACAGAGAAACGTGTTGTTTTCTAAATGTATGACCACTTTTCTCCATTTAAACAATGCTAATACTCCTTTTACGTTGTTTAGCATTGTTTAAATGGAGAAAAGTGGTCATGCATTTAGAAAAGAAGACATTTCTCTGTTATTATTTATCCAATCTTAACAAATAAGGTATCATTGAAAACTACATAAAATTTACAAACTTTTTTGTGTCTTGCAATTTTTTTGTTAAGTTAACGGTTTTTGTGAAATTTGGCATCAAATATTTTAAATGGCCGCCATTTTGAAACAGTTAATAATTTTTTAGTATAATTTCTAACGATAATAGGTCTTAATAAGATTAACATTTTTGCAAAATATCAAAGCTGTATCTCAAACCGTTTAGGAGTTATTAGTTTTTTTTTGTAAAAAACACATAAATACCGACAGTCGGTAAACTAGACACCACAGACCCATGTTCCTATGGTGAAATGTGTTTGTCTTGACCTAAGGAATAAAGCTATATGCAAGTGTCCAGAGAGTTACGGGACACCCTGTATATTAGACTTCAGATGCATTACACAGGGTTCTACCCGGCAGCCTGAATTTCAATTCAAGATGGAGGATATGGATTGTAATATAGTACGTTATTGAACATACCTCTATTGTACAAGCTCTCAACATTCTAAAACTTATTTGTTTTCACCGATTGTGTGCTTTTTGTACTCCTAACATATCATAGGTTGCAATAGGTGGGAAACTTTTGTAACTATTATTTAGAAGTTAAAATCACATGTGAAAAAGAATAGTTTACGGATTTTCAAAAAGGTTTTTTAAATACTTATAGAAACAATTAAGAAGTTTATGTTCATCCAGGGCATAGTTTGAATCTTTGTGAATATTTTACAGTTTTTTTTTCAACTCGATAAACAGTTTAATAATGCCACGAGGCTCTTTTTTGTAGAACTATGTTTATGTGGGTGGAACCCTCTTAACAAACGTAGTATGAACGCAGTTTTAAACTATGTCACTTCGTGGTATATAGCTTGTGATACGATTGTTAGAAACAATACCTAGTGCCACTTGTAACGGCTACTGGTGCTGTAAAATATGAATGATATCTTCCTTGGACCATTGTTAACAGTATAGCTCTTTGCCTTGAGCTAAGCAATATACCTTTAAAACCACTGCATCGAAACGTTTGAATCTTTAAAGAGTAATTGCGAAATTTAAATTTACATTATTTAAACATTTGCAAAAACTGAACTTAAAAACTTGTCTTTTATAGGGTTTTGCGGCATGTCATTTTTTGATAAACGTACAGATGCGTTAGAAACATATTTACTGTGAGCAAAGTTATTAGACCTTTTCCTATTGTTTTTATAATAATTCATGCACAGAAAATAAACGGTATTAGAAATCTGACACATACTTTCGCCGTTCTTTTTATTTTCTTTTAGCTTGTCAACAACCCTTATCATGGGTAAGCGGTATGGTATGTAACTACAGGTATAGTATGTAGCTCTGTGGACATCCACACACACATACATCACTTCGAAAACCACTTTTTTGGGTTCAGGGGGGCCCAAAACGGATAACTCGAAAATGTTGATGAAAACAATACTTTCTCCATATGTGTTTTTACGATCCGTGATTAAAACTCAAAGCAGTCTGCATTTAGAATATTTAGAAACGTATATACTAGAATATGAATGAAGTAAGACTACTTGCTGTCAAGTTGCTGTCAAGTACACCCCAAGTTGCTGTCAAGTACAAACCAAGTTGCTGTCCTAAGTTGCCTCGCTTAGACAGGTTCTCTGGCTTACCAAGTAATTATAAGACTTAGCAGCACTTTAATAGTATTATACGAGACTCCATTCCAAACTTGTCCCATCAACTTTCCAATGTGTCCACACAGTTGTAACCCAGTGTATAACCACGCGTATGTATTTGTCCTCTAGATGGCTGGCATTTTAAAATAAAACTGATACACAGTAAATAATACAGTTATGTTGCTATCTAAATCTCCTAATATATCAAAGTTTATTTTTCTTGTTTGAATCCAAGGATACCAGCTATATAAATTTAGAAATATAAAGAACTGAAAAGGAAAAATTAAAAAGTCGTGTTTTTGGCTCCTGTATTATTAAGTTAGGACAAAAATAGGTTTTACATACCTCTTGTCTAAATGTCAAAAAATTAAACTGCTCTGTAGCTTACATGTTTCGTTGGGAAGAAATAAAGAAAAACATTTGCAAAGCGTGCAACTCGTCACAAATACACAAAGTTTTATTTCCATGCAAAACACATTTTTTTTCCTAGAAAAAAAAACAAATATTGCTTATCAGCAGATTCCTAATCTTTCTTTTCATTGACCATTTCTTCTCCTGTGCTACATATAAGGTGAAAACAGGTAAATTAACTACATTTTATACATATACCATATTTGAACAATCTTTATTTTTAATATAGTTGAATCGAATCTAAACAGCTTCATTCCCATTCATGTTATGTAGAATTATTTTTACTAATCAAATTAGGTAAAAATACTTTGACTATTTATTTCAAAAGTGGGTTCTATCAAATGTAACAATGCTGACATATATTGGACAATGTTCCTACTTCTACATTGAGTTAAGACCAAGTTTAACAAAACTAGTTTTATCGACTGGACAGACAAGACACTTCTGAAAGCTTCTTTCAAAGAGTTTGTCGAACAACAACAACAGCTTGTTTACAACAAGTAAGATATTTCCAAATGAAAATAACTACAATATTGTACGTCTTATGATTATTTCAACCTAACCATCAGCATATTTATGAAAACAGAGGTTTTTGTAATTTTTTCAATTTCAACGATTTAAAACTCATATTCTATTCTATACTTTCTTTCTCATTTGTAAAACAAACCTTTCATTTTTTTAAGATTCTGTCACTTGATTAAAAGCATTACTATAAAATCCTTGATTGAGAGTGAGGACTTGGTAAAATTATATACGATAAATATGCATTTACAACATTTTCCATTTATAACATTTTCTAAATTTTATTAGCAGAATATAAAATGAGAATTTAAGTTAAAATTCTCCTAATGTAGAGCATATTTCACTGAAACTTGTGAATGTCAAATATGTCAAGCACGTTTAGAATGACGCAATGTGTCAGAAACACTGGATATGAAACAAGCCGGAGGTAAAATTCTGAAAACAAAAATACATGGTATGTTTTTTTACTCCAATTCTGTCAAATGGTTAAACAATTCATGGAAAAAGCACTGTCAAATTACAAAATTAAGATGAAAATTTGTTTACTACAAAATGGTGCTAATTTTACCGTAACTTTATTTGCCTTGATTTCAATTTATTTCAAAATCTTAATTTTACATACTCTCAAAAACATTTATTTTTTATATACGTTTGTGTATTCGAAAAAATACGTCAAGGTGTTTTCAAACGACAAATTAATATATAAAACCCGTTATTTAATTGTACTATATAAACAGTATCTA